TCTGCGTCACATTAAAACTCCAAGCCCACATGCGCCGCCCACGCCACTACCTGTACACGCAACTTCATCACGTTTTGCAGCGGAGGATTAGCATCTGGAACTCGATCATTTTATTCCCTCGTGATAAGAGCGAATCACGGCGAAATCATGCGCAGGTATAATAACAATCTATATTTACTGTACAAATAAGTGTCCAAGCACGATTATGGGTTTTATACTAATTTTTAAAAGAACCTCGACGAATATGCCAGTTATGGTAACTATGGAAACAAAAGCTCAGCTTCCTGCATGTACCCTAGGGTGTACCATAATGTACACACTATGGTAGGAGAATTCGCCCTGGGCATTTCTCACTAATAGTATATACGTATATGGACACTGACAGTATAGAGTGCAAGCTAGTTATTTATCGTGGCTCCTGTCTATGCTTTATTTGTTATTTACCAGCTTCCTTATCTATATAGCGTGAGGGAGGACGCGGTCCAACCGGCGAGAAGTCACCGGGCAGGTTGCGAACTGGTAACGTTACAGTTAGGTTAGCGAAGGAGATAGGCAGGTATTTGGATAGAGAGAGAGAGAGAGAGAGAGAGAGAGAGAGAGAGAAAAGAGGGAAAAAGAGAAAGAGGAAGGATACCGCGATAAGGAGATTTCTGTCGCATCTCAATTCATTATTTTTTTTCTCCAAACTATTTTCAACCAGCTTGTAAGTCTTTCGAGAATGTCTTGGCCTCTTGGAAATGAAATACCGATAAGTGGCAATAAGTTAGGAGGTCGCGGAATGCGATAAGCATTAATTAAGGACACGAAGGCACGTGATAACGATTACGAAAAACATTCGATTCTAGAAATATATATAGGTACGTAAGGAGGATACCTGTAAGCTGGGGTCATGGTAATTATTTATGAGGTATAGTTAAATCTGAGACCCGGGTCAAGGGGTCATTGGATTGGAAGATGACAAGAAGCAGGTGGCACTGTACTGTGACGCGCGAGGCAAATGATCCTATGGATACGAACCAGAGGAGGACAGAGTTATCGATGCTGTTTGGTAAAAGTGAAGCGGCGCTGGTGCAGTTGGCGAGTAATTAAAAGTAGATGACGCTGCTGGGAGTGAGACGGAGCGAGGGTTGGTGATGGCGTCGAACGAGGGAAAGAGAGTAATGGGAGAGAGAGAAAGAGAGATCGAGAAAGAGAATACGTTAAAGCAGCAACCAGCAACTACTCTAATTGGCCACTTTGTCCATTTATTCGATTTATTTAAATTATGGGACAATTGACAGTAGCATTCTATTTTTTAAATCTCCCCGGCCACTGGCTGATTGGGCGAGATTGGCGTGAGACACTGGCCCCACAGATTCCCCAGTTGTGGGCTTAATCAGCTTTGATTGCTGCCCGCTCGGCCCGAGCGCGGCACCATATTTTATTTTATTCCGTTTCGTCCATTGCGCGCCCACCCGAAATTGTGGGAATATCCATGAGAGCGCCTCGAGTGCATCGTATCAAGGAACAGACACCACGTGTGTAACCACTCTCACTATCTGCACGTCCCCCACTCTGTCCCTCTCGCTCTCTCGGGATTTCATAACTTTCTCTCTCTCTTTCTCTCTCTATGCGTATATGCTGTGCATCGCTCACTCCTACTTCTTCGCCAATCGTCAAGCCGCGCACTCCCACACGCCCTTACGCGCACCCTTGTGTTCACCAAGAAATTCCATCGGACACGCAACGCAGCATCCATCCACTGCCGAATGATCGAGACGCACGGATTTCACTTGCTTTATTTTTCCTTAACGACTGCTGGTGTCTACTTCGCTTAAATGGAAGGAGCGATCGACCGGTCATATAATAACCCATCGATTTATTTTAGTCGTGAAAACACTGTGAGCCATTTTAAATACCTAGCCCTGGGTAAATGAGGAAAAAAATTTACAAAAACAAGTCAAACATACAATTACAAAAAAAACGAAATATTTCGGGCTCTGTGCCAAGAAGCCCCATATAAATGAGCATATCCCAGAAATTGTCCCAAAGAAGCAAGCAGGTTTCCCTGAGTCAACAGATTTCACTGAATTACCCCAAACGGAACAGTGTCAAAGCCCTTACTGTCTATGCGTACGAAATGAGGTAAAAAATCCCCAGCAACACTCTTACTCGATGCCCCGTTAGTCCCTGATCGCAGTTACACACCCGATCAGACCCTGCCCCCCCAAACGCAGCACTCATCCCATTTCCTTGATAATTCCCATAATGCTGTGGGCGGATATTCCAATAAAGGGGGAAGCCCCCGTGTCCGAAACGCTGAAAGCTGAAAGAGAGAGAGAGAGAGAGAAGAGACTTCCCTTGCTTTAGAAGCACGCTGAGCAAGGACAGGGGAGCAAAGCGAGGGGAGCGAGAGGGAGGGCGGCGGGGGAGAGGAAGAGAAACACAGTAACTCGTAGCGCGTTGCAACTTTCGACGTCGTTCATTCTCATCGGTTCGTCCCAGGGACGGATACTTCAATTTCATTTAAATCTCATTTCAATCCCAACGTTACGAGGAGGAAATAGTCACTCACCGGAAACCTTCGGGTCAGCTGCCTCCGCCGTCATCGCCGCCAGACTCGCTATTGTCGGTGGAACCTAAAAGAAATACATTACGTGTACAATGCACCTTATTCAGGAGGGTCAGTGGACGAGGGGATGCAGGAGGTGGGTTAAGGCAAAGTTTGAGCCGACGAAGTTAAGGAGGTTACGAAGGGTCGCTGACGTGTGGCGGCAAATGGGAACGATAGATGAGACGAGTCCGAGATCAGGGCGAAAAGAGGCGATATATGTAGGTGGGTAGGTAGGACGTTAAGTAGTCATCGAAAGACCCTGGTCCGAGGTGAAACAATGCGGCGCGTGGGAAAAAGCGAAGTGTCGCGTAATGTTACAAAGTCAAGTGAAAAAAGAAAAAGAAAAAAAAAAACGTTGATAAGCGCGAAGAAGGCAACGACCGTTTTCTCATTTCCTGAAAGTGGAATTAAGCCCGATGAGGAGACCCGGGGACTAATGACCTTGCTTGGGCGGCCCGGTACAATGGCTTCGAATTCAAATGATTTCCGGCATAATCATTCCGATTAATTAAAAAATGAGAATAATTACAGTGCGTATGCTAATTGGATCGTTTCGTGGCAGAACGGTAGGAGGTGAGGCCCGGTACCCGCGTGTAGTCATCGATATAGCATAACTCGAGGTGGCAGGGTGGGCA